AGAACAGCTTGTCCGCAGGATGCAAGTCTTACTAGGCTGTGCTGTCACGCCTACACTCAACTCCAGTCCTGGAACTGTTCATGGTTTCCCCAAGCAGCAGGCTCACTTCTCGGCTTAGCCTATTGTTCCCCGGAGGATGCTCTTCTTCCTTCTCTCATCTTCTGCCAGGCTAACTCACCCCTCTTCTCAGCTTCCCCAAAGAGTTGCCTCACGCCCAAGACTTGACTAGTGCCTTTCCATCTGCCACTATCTCTTCATCTATTCCTCTGGTCATTGTAATGTACGGACATTGCTTAGTCAGTGGTCTACCCCTCTCCCCTACCTTTGTGTGTGTGTGTGTGTGTTAGAGTGTGCATTCGCTTGCCAGAGAGAGATGGGTGGATGGTGAGGGAGGCCACAGTCCCCAGTAGGGCATGGTCACACCACAATCTCCTCTCCATTTCTCCAATCTATTGGGATTTTTTTTTTTTAAGAGAAATTTTTGCTATAGGACATGTGTACTTACTGGAGAGACAGAGACAGAAAGCATGAAATCACCCTGAGGGGACAGGTGGCAACACCACAATCCCGTCTCCTGTGTTCTCCTCTTGGAATTTTGGGCAAGCATGCACATGTGCCCAGCTTGAGTTTCAAGCTGCCAGGTCTGGGACTTGAACTGCAGTCAGCCATGTGGGAGACCAGTCGCCTTAACCATCACATCACTTGTTGGCACCTTGGGACTTTAGATATGTACACACATGCACCCTTGGGGCTGAGTTTGAGTCATCTGGTTGGTCATGTGAGATCCAGCTCCCTTAACCATGGCCGCGAGGTCAGCCCAGCGTCTTCTACTTTAATATTAATAGCATTTTTTAGTATATAGCAAGTATAGAGTTTAGTGCCTTAGGTATGTTATCTCACTGAAGTCTATCCTTCGAAGTAGGTATCGGTACAAATGAGGAAACTAAAGCTCAAGAGGATAAATGACTTGCCCAAGGTCATCCGAAAACAAGCAGAAGAGCTGCGATGTAAACCCAGGCCTGCCTGACGCCAGACCCTTTGCAGTCAGTTGTACTTCTGAGGACTGGCAGGGCTGAGCACAGTGAAGGCACACAGTAAGCACTCCACAACAGTAGCTATTGTTACTTTGACCTGACTAGCCTCTGTGGGTAAGGTATCTTAACCCACAGATGCTCACGCGTGTGGCACAATACCCCAGCTAAGGTTGACTTAATGCACGGAGACTGCAGTAGAGCATCCTTATGAGCAAGGACCCTGTGTCTGGCTTCTGTAATATGTCCAGAGCACCAGTGTTTTGTTTTTAATTGCCAGAGGGTGAGTGTGCTCACCAGAGACAGAGAGAGAGGGAGAAAGCGTCCCCCAATGGGGTGTGGTTACAATCTCATCTCGCTGGGATTTTGGGCATGCATGCACATGTACCAGGTGTGTTTTTAAGGAGCTGGGGCTAGGATTCGAACTGCACTCAGCCATGTGTGATATGGTTCCCTTAATCGCTAGGCTAAGGGGTCAGTCCTCCCCTTTTAAAGATTCATTCCTTCTGAGAGAGACAGAGTGAGAGTGAGAGGTCTAGAGCCCCCCACCCCCACCCCAGCCGGACTTTGACACTATGATCCACTCCCAGCCTCAGCCAACCAAGATCATGGGCACAGATGTACCTGCTTTACTCAGGGAGGTCTCTAGTCTCGAGCTGGGAACCCTTCCATGTAGGACTGCCTCACAGATTGCTGTGTTTTACAACTACACCAGCATCCGGCCCCACTGCTGATTGTTTCTCAATAAATGACAGATGTGTGTTTTCTATTACAATCTCTGAATTTTTTTGAAGGATTTTGCCAAGGGGTATGTGCACTTGCTGGACAAAGACTGAAGAGACAATGAGAGGGAGAGTGAGAAATCACCTCCCAGGAGAAATGGCCATGCTCCAAGCCCCTCTCCTGGGATTTTGGGCATGCATGCACCTGCACCTGGCACGATTTTCAAGCCACCAGGCCTGGGACTTGAATCTCAGTTGTCGTGTGGGAGTCCAATGCCTTAACTAGCATGCCACCTGCTGGCCTCCACAATCTCTGTATTTAAGAGATGTTTAATTTCTCATTTTAGCTCCTCTCCACTTCTTTTTATTTTATAGGGAGATTTTTCTATAGAGTGCATACACTTGCCAGAAAGACAGAAAGCAAGAAATCATCCCCCAAGAGGGATGGCCACGCTGCAATCCCTTTTCTTCTATTCTTCTCTCATTATTTTGGGCATGCTGGTGTTGAGTTTTAAGCTGCCAGATCTGGGACTCAAACCACAGTCAACTATATGGGAGTCCAGCGACATATCCGTTACTCCATCTGCTGGTCCCCTGGTGTGAGTTTTAAGCTGCTGGATCCAGGACTCAAACTGTGGTTGACAACATGGGAGTCCAGGGATGTAACCATTCTGGCAACTGCTGGTCCCTCCTTTCCACTCACTTCTGAGTGAGGAGGGATGAGACTACCAAGGGGACCCAAGAAAACAACCAAAGCTGCTCTTAGATAAGACACACGGGAACCACCAACCATCTAAATAAACGTCTTCTTTATTTTACCAAATATAATTTATCAGTTAAGTTGACATCTGTCAATTCAGTTATAGTAACTATAAATAATTCTCTTAAGACACAGTTCTGTAACTTTTTAAGGATACGAGAGTAAACCAATATTGCTCCTTGCAGCCAGGCCAAAAGTACATGCAGTTGGTGCAATCAGGGGAAAAGAAATGTATCTCCCATGACAGTCCACCTCATTTTCTTTCCCTCTCACCCCTCAGTCCTCCCTCTGCTCACACACACAGGGCCTGGCCATGCCTACCTTTCTGTGTTTTAGGCAAAGGACGCTTCAGAGTCCTCTGGGACAGCCTGGCTGAACTCCAGAGATGAGGACGGGCTTAGTGAGAGGGACAAGGGGAGGCTGGAGTTCACAGGGCACAGTCTTAGGGGCAGAGGAGTTGGTTCTGGGTGCCTGAACAAGAAGAATCTGGCATGGCGCGAGTGTTTTGAGATGGAGAAAAGGTGGAAGAAGGCCAGAGGGAAGGGCAGAAACAAGTTCAGGCTGGTGTTAATGAACCCCGTTGGTCACAACTCTGACTAGGTAACCTCTACGATGCCCTTCACCCCTAAGGTTCTATGAGTCCAGAAGATGGCCCGAGTGGGAGTGGCGGGAGAGAAAAGACAGTCTCTGGGGACAGGCACGGTGTTGGGAGGAACAGGGTCATCGCCAAAGCCTTCTTTGGAGGTGGGTCCTTTAGACTACAGAGGGGAGGGTTTATGGAAAGGCTTCTGCCTAAGGCTAGAAAGTGGGCAGCTAAAGGCCCCAGTGTGTGCACCGGCTGAGTTAGCCAGACTTCTGAGCAAGTGGTTCAGAAGAGCAATGTATGGGGAAGAGGTGGAGGCTCCAGTTTTCTCCAATTTTGAACGGCGTAGAGAAATGTAGAAGCAGTCAGTTGCCATTCAGTCTCCTAGTTCTAAATCCTCTCTTGGGTGCTTGGTGAGGAGAGGCAGAGGAAAGGGAAGGTGAGGAAAGGGAGTTCTGGGAAATGAACACTGATAGAGTGATGGGGCTGGTGGCTCTGGCTGCGGTCAGCACTGCACAGAGGTGGGACCTAGGAGGGGGAAGGAGGCAGAACCTGGCTTGGTAGCAGAAATAAACACTAAATACTTACAAGGGAATTTCTCTGCCAGACTGAAAGGGGCATATGGCCTTTGGAACCTGGGGAGTGGAGTGAAATTGGAGCTGCATTTCCCTTACTACTGGCTAACCAGTGCCTGGCACAGTACCTAACACATAGTAGGCACTTCATGAGTGTTGCTTAATGAATGTTTCAGACCATGTCTATGAAGAGCTCATCTTGGGAAGGCTGCGTATTTGTTGAATTAATCAATGAATGAATGAACATTTACTGGCAGACACCAACAGAGATGAAAACTGATACCATGATAAAGTGAGTGGTTTTAGGAAGTGACAAGAGTCCAAGGTGGTCACGTGATTATGTCCTCAGGAGGAACAGTAACCATGAAACTCCCCAGTGACCCTCCACCTTCAAAGCATTCTCCACATACCCATGCTCTGTCCCTAAGCCTGGGACCTGACCTGGCAAGCTCTGGGGAAGGTAGTGCTTAGAGACAATTAGAGATGAAGGCTGAACAGAAACAAAGGATCAGCTCTCTGGGCCTAAGGAGGTTGTGGATCTTGGGACACCAATGGGGAGACATGGGTCAACAGGGCGACCAGGCCACTGCTCATTTCTTTCTGGATGTAACAGTCAACTGGGAAGAGATCTGAAGGAGGGGTTGATGATGTCGATCAGGCAATCAGCCATGTGCCCAAATTGGAGTCAGTGTGCTTTACTGTTTCTAAGAGCAGGAGGGCCTAGGGTCAGAGGGCAGAGGGCAGGGCTGGGAACATGGGGGACTGGAGCAGCTGTCTCCTGCCCAGCACTTTGAAGTTGGTCCATTTCTTCAAAAGGATGTATGTGGGGGAGTGTTACTTATCCCTCTGTTCAACCAAAAAAAAAAAAAAAAAAAAAAAAACAAAAATTAAAAAAAAAAGCCATAATCCACCCCTAGCAGCACTGAGCCCTAAATCATGAACACTCACATGCATGGAATTCTTAGGGAGGCCTCTGGATATGAATCTGGAATCTTCCCATGTGGATTGGCCTTGCAGAGCATCGTATTTTACTCCTGTGCTACCATCTAACCCTTATTATTACATTAGCATATTAATTTTTATATGTGATGTAAGTAAGCATTCAGCTACTTTTCTTTTTCTTATTACTAGAAGGTGCATGTGCTCACTAGAAGGAGGAGAAGGAGAGAGAGCACTCCGCAGTGGGGTGTGGTCACACTGCTGTCCCCCTCTTTCATTTCTCCATTTCATCAGGAGTTAGTACACACATGAACATTAGCCTGGTATGTTTTTTAAGCTGCTGGATTTGAGATTTGAACTGCAGGTGACATGTGAGGATCCAGCACAAAAAACAAAAATTAAAAAAAAAAAAAGAGAGAAAGAACAAAGCCAAAAACCAGAGCCCATTCATAAATGGTTTCTCATTAGGGCCAAGACTGAGGTTGCCAAACCACAAGTCCCCAGATCCTAGACAGAAACCCCCTGCCCTAATAATCCACCTCACCTGGAGGCACCCACCATGAAATTGCACTTGGTGATTGTCTCAGAAATCTACGTGTACTGCTTATCTCAGTCCATTGTCCTTCCTAAATTCTTGCTATACAAACTTGGCTCAATGTATAAAAATTCCCATTGAAAATAATGAGAATTTGGTATCAAAGTGAAGTCTTAGAAATAGGTGGGAGTGTAGAGTGGGGTAGCGGTAAGGAAACAAAAAAGAAATTCAAATAGAAAGTGCAGAGGAGTGGGGGAAAGGTGGAGTGACTAAGTTAGTCCCCGACATCTGAGTCTCGGTCCCCAATGAGCCAGAGGACATGGAAGCTGAGTGCTAGGAGCCCAGTGCCAAGCAGGTCCCCCAGAGCAGTCAAGTACGGGATGGAGAAGTTGTCTGGGTCCAGGCCGCGACCCCACATCCAGTGCACCATCCAGTCTGCGATGTACAGGAGAATCAGCACCTGCAGAGACAGAAGAGCCCAACTCGTAGCTATCCCCTCTCCAGGGGGAGCCAGAGGCCACACGATCGGGCCCATTCAGGGCATCTCAACGCTAGGCCAGCCAGTGTCCTTATGCTGGGACAGCTCATCTTTCCACCCCGGCAAGCTACAACCACCTTGGGCAGACAACAGACATAATGCGACCTCTTCAGAGACAAAGATACTACTACTACCCAGGGTCACCCAAGTCGGCATTACCATCTGCTCCCTGATTTACCAAAGACAGCCTTCTTAATCGAAATCCTGTGTGTTGCAGGAATTCAGCCCTCTCGCCTCTAATTCTGGATTCCCCCATCCTTGGGTCACTGTAATTCCTGCCAATGTGGGCCTTTCCTGGAGAACGGCAGGATGTTGGCAGCTGGAGTCAGCTCTTCCCACAGGGGTTTTTTGTCTGCGCATAGTGGTATATGGACAGTGCTTGAAGCTTCTGCCTGCATGGCTGAGTAACAGCTCATTCTCCCAAGCTGGCTTTCTCCTGACTCCTTCCAGTCTACTGCTATGGACTCGAAGAATGCAAGTTTATTTTCACGTTAGTCCCAGCAGACAATGCAAACCGACTCAAAATACATTTGGGCTGTCTGCCGCTTTGACTGACCTTGCCCTTGCTTACCTTCTACTACTACAGATCATTAAGAATGATCTAGCTCAGAATCCCGCTCATGGGCCCAGGACCGCCAGCATCGACAATAGCTAGGAACTTCTTAGAAATGCAAAATTTCATGCCCCGCTCTGGACCTCCTGAATCAAAACCTGCATTTTATTATTCTTATGCTTACTGTAATTTTTGCAAGACGGCATGTGTATTTGCCGAACAGAAAGACAGAGAGGGAGGGAGAGGTAGAAAGCACCTCCCAATGGGGTGTGGTCAAGGCACAATCCCTTCTCCTACATTTCTACACCCTGTTGGGATTTGGGGCATGCATGCACATGCACCTGGCATGTTTTCAAGCCACTGGGTCTGGGATTGGAACTGTGTAGTTGGCCATCTGGAATCTGACTCCTTTAATCACCAGGCCATGGAGCCAGCCTCCAAATCTGCATTTTAACAAGATTTACATACACTTTTAAGTTGAAGATACACTCAGGCTAGAACACTATGGCAGTGGGGCAAGCCCGCATCTTCTACAAGCTCTGTACAATGCTTGACATCTCGGCTCCCGAAATGACTGTGTCCGCGTGAGAATGACATGGTTTCTAAGGGTTACACTCCCACACTGTCATTTGGGAGGTTTCACTCTCAACTGTATTTTGCAAATACAGTGGTATGAAAATTCTAGCCTCACGCCCAGATGCAGAAACCAGGTCCTGTAAGGGACCCAGAAGGCAGAATTGACACCTATTTTTAGGCAAACATGTTTGTTCTCCTGTTCTCTCACCAAGGAAGCCAGAGGTGACAGTTCCAGCACCCTTCACATTCCTCTTGCCCTACACACAGCTGTCTTGTACTGTCATGGCCCTGGCCCTGACCTTGGGTGAGTCCAAGGTGGCCACGTGGCCAGAACTTCACACCATTTCCAGCAGCTGCAGCAGAGTCCCAAATAAAGAGCATGGCCAGGAGGCCTTTGGGACATGCCCTGGGAAGGGAATGGCAGCAGCTGTCCTCACATTCCAGGCTCCTGAAAGGGTCCTGGGACACATGGCTGGGAGGAGGCAGCCAAAGGATCAGGAGGAACCTTTACAGGGGATCTAGTGTCCCACTCTGGCTCTCCACAGATCTAGAGAAGGGAGCAGAGGCAACAGCGTGCCCCGGAGTATTCATAAGGCATATCGGAGTCAAGCCTTACCTTTCTAGCCTAGGCCAAGGATGAGCTGAAATCTCTCCCACAGCCCGCCACATGCCCTCTGCCTCCCTTCCCCTCCAGGTGCCACACTTGGCGCCATTGCAAGTGCATCTGGCCGCTGGGTGAACTGCTGCAGGGACACAGCACATGGCTAGTTCTCAGCCTAGCTCTTGCCAGAGGTCCTAATACACAAGCTTTCTGAAGTGGAGATGGGGTAGAGTGGGAGGAGACAAGCGTTAGTCAACAAGTGACCAGCTAGATAAAATTATGGCATATTTGTATAACAGAAAAAAAAAAAAAAACAGAGCAGCCAACATGAAAGAAAAAAAAAAAAAAACAGAGCAGCCATCATGAAATCCAAGTACTCTCCTCTATGGACTGCTGAAGGATGATCTCTAAGACACGCTGTTAAGTGAACAAAGCAGACAGAGTGTCTGGAATGCTCCATGTGTGTAGAAAAAGGAGGAAATTAGGGAAAAAATATGTATTTGCTTGTATATTTGAAGAATAGGCTTGATTGACACACAAGAAGTGGATCGCATTGATGGTGTGTGAAGGAGGGAATGGAGGTTGGGGAGAGGGCGGAAAGGAAGACTTTCTCTGAGGCTTCACTAGGAAGCTTGAAACATTTTTGAATGATGTGGCTGTTATTATCTATTCAAAATCAAATCTATTAACATTTAGAATGTAGTAAGGTGATGTTGCTACTAAGGGGGTAACATAAAGGAGCCTTGAGGGGATCAAATAGTTCTTTTTGTATCTTGATCATGGTGGTCATATGAATCTACATTTGTGGTAAAGTTGCTCAGACCTAAACACACACACACACACACACACACACACACACAAAGTGCACATAAAACTGGTGTACTCTAAATAAACATTGTGAATTTCTATTTATGCTAATTTCCTGGTTCTCATAGTGTACTATAGTTGTGTAAGTTACCACTGAGAGAAACTGAATGCAGAATAGAGGGGATGTCCCTGTACATTTTTTTTTTTGGGGGGGGCAAATCTTGTGAATCTATAATTATTTTAAAATAAAAAGTTAAAAAAAATACTATAATAAGGAAGAAAGTGTCATAGTATTACAGAATGGCAAGGCTGGATAGGACCCTACAGATAAGATTATCTAGTGCAGTGTTTTTGAAACTTTATTCAAATGTAATTTCTTGAGGAAGCCCAGTAAGCGAAACAGAGAGCCAAGTGGAGCTCTGTGGCTAGGTCAGTGGGGTGGCACCCAAAGCCTACCTGCTCAGCACTCTTCAACCACCTGTTTGAAAACCACCACCTCTGGCCTGTTCTTCTTAATTTACAAATGTATCATGCCGAGGCGCAGAGACATGAAACAGCTAGACCAAAGCCACACAGCGTGCCAGTGACTGCTGGAGCTATTGTCTGTTCTAAGCCCCCGTTCAGTGTTAATTGGCTGCCCATACAGCAGAGGTCCTCCAGACCACGTCTGGGCCTCTTCTCCCATCCCCACAGGCTGCCCCAGCCCTGCCCGTACCCCTGCCCATTGGCGTACCTGGAGCAGTGCAGCTGTCATGTAGAAGATGATGAAAATGAGTGTGAGGGTGGTGTGCCCACCCTGCATACAGCTGATGGTGTAGAGGAACACCAGGTGTCCTGGGACCACGAGAAGGAAGAGGACCCGGGCCGAGCGGGAATTCACATCTGGGATGGGAGGAGAGATGGTGTGAGGAGGAGGGCAGGATGACTCCAGGCCCCAGAGGCCTCTCCAAGTCAGGAGGGACCAGAGCACACTCCAGGGCCACAGACAGTTGCCTGTCTTCGCCTCTCCATCGAGGTCCACAGCCCAACAATATTCCAGGAAGAGACCTTCCTGCCTGGGCTCTGCCCTCTGGAACAACTGGCACAGCCCCTCAGTGGAGATCCTGTGCATCCGGACCCCAGCTGGCTTGTAAGGGAAGGTCACTGACTGTAGGCCCCCTCCCTCCAGGGCTGGACTGAGGGCTGAGGACCTGCCATTACCGGGACTGAAGAAGGTAGCACACGGACTAGGGCAGCGGCGAGGAGCTTGCTCAGAGTTCTCCCCTGGCATCCCGTTCATGTGGAGGAAGGTGGAGATGCGGCTGGCCTGCACTGCCACCAGATTGCCCCCCACACCTGCAGAGACAGGGAAGGGCTCAGACACCGGGGGGCAGGGGAATGACCTTATCACGCCTTATCATCTATCTGAAGAGCACTTGTCCTGTGTCTTCACTTAGGGTCTATGTGGGCAATGCCCGGTCTCCTGCTCTCCAGGCTCCTCCCCTCCATGGAGATGGGATGGTCCCATGTGACCCTGGCGTGGCTGTGGGAGTGCAGGAACAGACCCAGGCAGGTCTTCAGACTCTACCTTCCTTCATGGCAGAGGGCACGAGGCCATGCCACAGCCTCTCCAGTGTTCTAAGCAGACGTGGGCACCAAACGCTCGTGCACTGGTTCTAGTACCCGCTTTCAAGTATCAGCTCCGAACTCTGGAATCTGGCTCCTCTCCCCGGAACTGTGCCTGTTCCTGTTTGTCCTCATAAGCCCAAATCGTCCCTGCTCTTCTCGGCCTTGCTCTGAGCCATGGCTGACTTCCACAGGTTGCACCACCCGGCCTCCCTTCTGGCAGCTTCCACTTGGGTTTGTTCCAATGAGAGGCACCAGCAGGCGACCAGAGGGTGGGAGGGAAAGGTCAGGTATTTCTGGATCTTTGCTCCTTGGCAGTGGCTTATCCCTGATGGGGACAGAGGAGGAGCTCTCACTGGGCTCCTGTAAGGCTATTTCCTCCCCATGAGTGTTCAAAACTAAAGGCTTGCTAGGGCAGCATCCCTTGTTGGTCCTGCTCCCACCCCTGTGAGCACTCCCTACAGTTCAGCCTTGAACTGTGTGAGCTGAGCTCTTCTGCCGGTTGGAACCCTGACTGGCAGAATATAGTCCCTAAATGCTCTTCTCCCATCTCTCCTGGCAGCCGATGCCAAGGCCTCACCATTAATCACAGGTGTGAAGACAGCCATCCCTGCAAAGTTGGGGTCCGAGACCGTCTTGTCCAGGATGAGACCTCCCACACTGCAGAGACACAAAGACCATTGGAGGGTTCTGCCCTGGTCTCTGGGATGAAAGGCACAGCCCCTCTGCTCAGGAGACTAAAAGAAGGAGGCTCCTAAAAGTCTTTCACCTTCTCGTGCTCACCTCCCTTGCCAGAATCAGTTTTTCCTCCTAACGCATGGACTTACCCTGTGCTCCCAGAACTAGTGGGTATTGCGGGGCAGGCAGCCACTTCCTGGACCTGCCTCCAAGGGGCCGGAGGTGCTGCCGCTGCCTGCGGGACTCCCTGTCTGTGAGGACCTCTGCTGTCCTGCCTACTCTGCATTTACTTTCCCTTCTGCTAAGAGCACTGGACTCCCCCTGAGGGAACCACCAATCTCAACCTCAGACACTGCGGTCCAGGAGACTGCTTCAGTGATGGCGAGGTTCCAGGCTCGTCCAATCAGAGTATTGCATCCCCATGGCACAGTGAGTGGTTTGGATATAGTCATGTGATTAGATGAGAGTCCATGAAACTTGGTTCTGGGACTTTGTGAAACTGCTGGGGGGAATAATCTCTTCCTGCTGGAATTGGAAGGAGCAAGCAAAGAGCTGTCTGCATGGTGGGCCATTGCCGAGAAAAGCAAGGCTGAGAGACGCAGAGCACTGGGGCCCTGATACGGATGTGCCTGAATCCAGGCCAGTCTGCTTAGGAATGAAACCCACATCAGAAAGTTTCATCACTGCAACAGAAGGACATGTGGCTGAGACATGGTGGACACATGCCTACAGCACACCTCACCTGCTTTTGTCCAGGTCAGGGTAGGAGTTGAGGGGGGCATGGGCCTCAGGGCCTGAGCCTACCTGCTGATGGCCATAGCAATGATGACAGGCTCCCAGCCGGAGTACAACACTTCCTTTGTTGCTGGGCTCCGTCGGGCCAGCACCACCCAGACAGGCAACAGGGCCACGAAGAAGGCACACACCAGCGGGTAGATGTATCGCCAGTGATCTGGGAGGACAGAGATCGGAGGGTGATGAGCACTGTGGCTCCTACTCCCAGCTTCCCCCAGGTTCAGCCTACAACCGGCCCGACAGATCCACAGCAGCACTACACGAACCGCCTGTAAACAGCTTCCGTCATCAGCTCCTTGCTGCGGCCCAGAAGGCAGGTGGGGTCACCCGCTCCCATTTTATAGCTAAGGAAACCAAGGCAGAGACCTATCCAGACGCTAAACTCACTAGGGCAACGACTGGGCTCTGAGTCTTTCGATTTAATCCCAGAAATCACTGTTTTCTAGTACAAAAAAATTTCACTGCTCAGTTCTTTCCCTTTACCCTTTTCACCTCACCCCTCGAGGGAAGCACAAATGTTCAGGACTGGGCTAGTCCTATAGCACACTGGTTAAGTGCTGTGCATTGGGAGTCAGTTCCCATATGGCTGACTGTGGTTCAAATCCTGGCCCTGGTGGCTTGTAAAACATGTCAGGTGTGTGTGCGTTGAGTGCCCCAGATACTAACAAGATGGAGAAATGGAGGAAGAAGGATTGTAGCATAATTTTGCCCCCTGGAGACTGCCTTCTCTCTTTCTTTGTAGTGAGCACACATACCTTACACTCAAAAAAAATTTATGGATCAAGCAAGAATATCTTTCTGATATTCCCATATTCCCCCTGCCCCTGCTAGCTGCATGAATCTGAGATCAGTTCTAAGCCTCATTTCTCTAACATGAGTTATGATAAACTGTTTAAACCAAGTAGCTAAGAACATGAAAGAAATCTCGCACATTGTGAAACAACTTCCACCCCTGCCAGTCCCACCCATGAATCACCCCAAACCACACTTTCGGTGGCCTCAGCCTCACTTTGTTCCAGGTAGAGTCCCCAGCTGATGCCTGAGAGCAGTGCCAAGGTGATGAGGTCACCTAGGCTGGCAGCAATGGGAGTCGCCACGTTGTCTGGGTTGATGCCAATCTTGCGAGAGCCAATGATAACTCCAATCATGATCATACCTGGTGAGGAAGGGGAGGGCCCCAGGCAGAGTGAGAAGAGATAAAGGACTATCAACTAACAGAATGGAGGTGCTAGGTGCAGTTGACACCTCTCCACATCTCTGGGAGGCTCCCCTTATTTCTCTGTACCCTCTTCCCTCCTTACCCAGGACCAGGGAGGCAATGAAGGCTGTGGCCACGCTGCTGGCACACAGCAGGAAGGCATGCGGGATACTGAAGTGGCCATCCGGTATCCAGCCAAAGACGACGGCAGCGATGGACGCCAGGAAGCCCACCACCGTGGCCTGCACCTGAGAAGAGCAAGGGCGACTTGAAAAGCTCTGAGAGCCAGAGCTTCTCAGCTGAAGTCACTGAGCACTGTCACAGACCTCCTGGCCTCAGCCTTAGGAGGCAAGCTGGACTGGACTGGAGGAAGGTCTTTATTGACCTAATTTCACACCCTGCAGTGCTCCCTGCAGGAGCCCGGGACATTTACTGGCCAATGAGTGTTCCTCTGGGAATGGGGGAGAGGTTCAACAGAACACTGACTTCGGTCCAGGGTCAGGACCTGGAACTCTGGGGGATGACTCCCAGTGTGGGAGCTGAGTGGCGTCATGGGGAGATGGGACAACAGTGGCACAGGACATTCCAATATTCCAGAGTCTGCTCCTACTGTCAGGATCTAAGGAGACATAGAAGTCCCTGCACCACCAGGAATGGAGAACTGACATGAGCAGTGGGGGCCACCCTATTTTGGCCATTTTCCTGGCCAACCTGGTTACCCTCCTAGAGCTGTTTTGGGAAAAGTCAGTTCTGCAGGATGCTAGAGAGGTACACAGGAGCCAGCTGGGACTGACCTAAGCCCTTTCCAGATTTCTCACTGTCAGGGAGCTTAGCCCACACTCTCTGGTTCCTGCTTTCTTACCTGGATGAGGGCCATGTTCCCAGTGATCATCCTCCAGAGCTCTGTGGGTGTGTCCATGTGTCCAATGTTGGCCTGGGAGAGGGAGGGCGAGAGGCTGAGCTCCAGCTGAAACAGGACTGCCGCTCTATCAGTTCAGTACCTGCCTGGATCAGGAGGCCATGCACGTGGCCTAAGGCATGGGGACCAGGATGTGACCACCACAGAGAGTGAGATAGGATCAGGGGAATTGGGGGGAGAGAGAAGGAGTTACAGAGCCTTGAGCCCCTCCGGGTGGGAAAGGGCAGAAAGGGGGACTCTCAAGGCTCCAAGCTCCTCTTTCCCCGTTTCTCTCTGAGCAGAGGCAGGTTCCACCCTCTGCCTCCTTATCTGGGCAGCCCATGCCCACATGGGTCGGAATGATCCACTCTCTGGCTCTGAAGATGGCCTGCTGTCCTAGGGAAGGCAGGTCAGCAGCTGGAATAGGACTGAGACTGCAGAGTGCTTTGGAAGGAGAGAGTGGCACGGGCCAGGAGTAAGGCAGGGGGAGCTGGGGCGGGTTAGGCTGGCTGTCACTTCTCTCTGCTGCCTTCTCCAGACTCTTGGCTAAGCAGGGAGCAGGGATACCCCTGGCCTCCTGAGTTTTATCATTGCCCACCTCCTGTCCCAGGGCCCTGTGCCTGATTCAGTCCCTGAATCATCAAGGCTGACCGACCCAAGAGCTTGTGGAAGGTGGGAGCGATAAGCAACCCCTTCCAGTCTATTCCCTTAAAGAGGAGCAAGCTGCCGTGGGGAAAGGGAGTGGGCTGGCGTGGGCAGGGCGGGGG